GAACAGAAGACACTGATGGTTGCCAGGGGGAGAGGGGGACTGCGTGTAAAAGGTGAAGGGATTGAGAGGTACTATCATCATTGTAAATGTTTCTCCGAAAAGTACCTGCATATGGCTTTATAAAGCACGGAGGGCCCTGGCCAGTTTGGCTCAGTGGTTGGAGCATCAGCCTGCGGTCCAGAGAGATCCGGGTTCAGTTCCCGCTAAGGGCATGCACCTCAGTTGCGGTTTGTCCCCGGCCCTGGTTGGTCGTGAGGATGGCAGCCACTCGATGTGTCCCTTTCACGTCGATGTTTCTCTCTCTCTCTCTCTCTCTCTCTGTTCCTCTCTGTCCTTCCCACTCTACCTGAACAAAAAATGGAAAAATATCCTTGGGTGAGGATAAAAAGAAAGAAAGGGAGGGAGGGAGGGAGGGAGGGAGGGAGGGAGGAAGGAAGGAAGGAAGGAAGGAAGGAAGGAAGGAAGGAAGGAAGGAAGGAAGGAAGGAAGGAAGGGAAAGAAAGCACGGAGAGCTTAATAATAAAAATCAATAATTCCTGCCCAGTCTCTTCATGCTCATGCCTCCCTAATCCTCCTTCAAATTTTTAATAATTGTACCACTACATTAGTTTCTTTATTATTGCCATCACAATTTTACCTATAGTTAAAAATATTTTCCTATTCCATCAAATATAGACTTTATATCTTGATTCCCCAATGTATAATTAGGCAACTGGTTCTCTAACATCCTTAGTAAATAAAACTATTAGTTACTTAAAATATAGAATCTTGATAAATGATAACTAATTTTGTTTAGTAATCAGTTGCATCTTAATTTTATTTTAAGGAACTTTTTATCATATGCCCATTGTTTTGAAGCCTCCATACAGAAGTATGTACAACTTATTTTTCTACCAGAGGCCACTAGTGATAACTAAGGCTAAAATAACAACTTATTTAGCTTTTATTTCAGACTTTTATTTAAGAAGAGAAAATATACAATTACAGTATACTTCTCTGTTCTTAAATTCAGAAACAGGAAGAGAATAAAAATATTTTAAAATTCAATGATATACTAACATTTAAGAGAAAGGAGAAGTGAGAAGTAGTGTTGGACATACATGTAAGGGAAAAGTAACTAATGAAAAGAAGAAGGGCAAAGATTGGCATGTGCCTTCTTGGAGGGTAGAATGATAGAAGCGTAGAAAGTCCAAGGAGAGGAAAATGACCACACAGACTAAACAAAGATAAATATACAGCAACATGGAGAAAGATTTCATGGTGACTCTTTAAAGTTCATTTTACTGTATCCTTGGGAAAGCAGAAAACTGTTTCCTAATTTAGTTCATCTGAAAACATCAAATGTAATAGATTTATAAAAAGTAGGTAAAGTCATATTAGCGTTTGGGAAAATGTTTTTAAAAATTAAAAGTAAAGTTGTCACTCTCAAAGAAAAACCCTTGAAATTTACGTCACATGACAAAATAAATGATTAAGCAATTAGAAAGTACATACCTGAAAGTATATATTAAAAGTATAGAAATTAAGTCACTAAAGAGACAAATACTTTCAGTGATAATATTTTTACATTTGCCCTGAAGTTTTATGTATTCAGATTACTTAGAATGAATACTTTAAAACCATATCATTTGTATGTTTTTCTTTTTTTCCACAGGAGATAAAAATAAAAAGTCAACCCTAAATAATCATGGATATATTACATAATAAAAGATGATCCATAGAAATTCACACAAATCTAGTGCAACTATTGCTTTGTAGTAGTTCTTAATATAATTAAACTATTTTCTTTTCTTCTGTGATCTAGTCACAACTTCCCTTCGCTCCCACCCCACCCCAAGTAATACTTAGTTAGAGCTGACAGTAACTTTCTGTGGATCCTCAAGTCATGAAATACATTTGTCTCATGAGTTGGAGGTAAACTTGAGACAAGTCTCAGAAATTCCAGCAATGAAACCCAAGAAATTTGGTACTTCCTTCTACATAAAGACCTAATCTCATAGACTTGATTCTCATTTAGCTAGTTTCAGAGCTTATATCATTTATACTGCTACTGTGTATAAATGAGGAAGCCAGACAGTGTGAGAAATACATTCTTTTACAATGCCTAGACCAGTTAGTGTGTATCCCTGTGCTGTTTATTATCACACTAGTATTTGTTAGTGATGAACTTGGGGTACTGAATGGTACTCTAAGCTTGAGTCCATACGGTACAGTAAAGGGGGTCATTATCCCTTGTCATTAAATCCCAGTGGATGATTGGGAATGCAGAGATAATTTATCTCAAAAGTGTGGTCCATAAAGTGAAGTTTGGGCTGAAATGTTCTGAATTAGTGCTTTGTACGGGGTAAACAAACTGGATTATCACTGATATTCTGGTCACTTAACTCTGAGTCCTTAGGCCAAGGCTAGAAACTACTATCACACCAGAAAACTAAATCATCGTGCTATATACTATAAATCATCTAGCTCTAAAACTTTATTTTCAAAACACCTCTATTGTTGTGCCCAAAATATGATTACTAAGAAAGAAAATTTTCTACAAAATCCTTGTGCTCTTGTGAGGGAATAGGTACAAACGCTAAGAATTTGGTGCATCTTGAAATGTAGGGAGGTAATCTCAACAATAGAGCAAAGGGGTTATTTTAAATCAGTTACTCACCATAACTCGATCCATTAGTTGTGTGATTGGTTTATTCATTCCTGACTGTCCTGTTTAAAATTATAATCCCTACTCCCTATTCTGGGAACTCTCTATTCCCCGATTTTTCTTTTTTCTCCATAGCACTTATTGTCTCTCTTCCCTCACAGTAATGTTAACATCCAAAGGGCAAGGATGTTAACTGCTCTGTTACACAACTTAAAAGAGTCCTTGGCAATATATTTTGATTGAACTTATTAAATGATTTTGAAGTCACAAAATTAAATTTTAAAGTCATTTTAAAGATTTATATTGCTTCAGTCTTCATCTGACAATTATATTTTACTTTTAAATAACAGCTGGAAAAAAATAGGAAACATATAGTAAAGAATTTGGAAGACATAAATTAGCATATTATATACCTTTAAACTGTATGTCCCCCCTAAAAATGTAAAGGAGCTAATGGTGACCCAGCATCTTTACTTGTTGAAGTTTAGTTTAGATGGAAACAGTTTTATTTCCTTGGTTAGGCAAATTTTTTTTATATATACTTTCTAGGCAACTAGAATTGAGGGAGAAATAGCATCTTTCAACTACACTAAGAAGTTGCAATAATTCACTGAATTCTATTTTGTTTTTATAAACCTGATGAACATTGTAGTATACATTTATATAAAAGTGTAGGTGAGTGTGGTTTACAAATGTGTCTAATGTCTTTTGTATTGCAAAAACATGTTTAAGTTCTGTAATTAATTAGAACAATAATGACATCCAATGTCTAGCTTTTAGTACTAAGAGCAACGCCCCCTTGACAATAATTGACTGTCAAAGGATGTAGGTCAAATCTTCTAGATCTGGCTTAATCATATATATATTTAGACTAAAAGAGGATGCATGTTTGGTGATAAATTTTCCTCTTATTCTAACATTGTATATTCAGTTTTTATGCAAGTTTAGCTAAAATGAAAAAAAGAAATTTGCCTTTTATTATTTAAAAAACATGAGTGTTGACATATGAAGTGAAATAGAATAATGTCTAGCAAATGGTAGGTACTCAATTAATGTACCCTAAATGAAATTGCATGCTTTTGCTTAGAATAATATATTAATGTTTCATCTTAATGTTTAAGAAATATTATTTCTCCTTTTATGCTTATATGCTTTATCAGAAGTTTAGAATTTTAACATTCATAAGTAAGCAACATGTTAGATAGCCACATTTAAACCTACATTTCCTCAGGAAAGAATAAAATCATTGGCCTTCATTATTAATAACTGCCAGTTCTATAGAATAAGCATTATTGTTGTTATCACTTTATATACTGGGAAATATAAACCACAACAGATTGAGATATTGCATCTTCTAATGGGATATTAATATAGAAATGAATACTGATCTATAAGTGAGGACAGTATCATTAGATACACTGGATCCAGGATTTGTTTTGAGTTCTTTTCATAGCAGAACTACTGGATTTATCCTAATCTGTCGTTAGCATATTTCTGGTTCCTTCCTGACTGTTCTCAGTGTTTGTAGTATGTCTTACCAGGTTGAGAGATGAAATCTGTGGTTGTAGAACAGTTGTATATATTTACTGCTCTATGTAAGAATTAAATCAAACCTTGATTTGATTATAAAGTATCTAAACCCAAAGTTTTTTGTATTCCTGTCATGAAGCCTAGGATTTGATGAAATAATTTGCTAGTGAAGTAGACTTTGAATTTTTCAGCCTGATTTTTTTCATAATCTATTTATATGAGACTAATCTCTCCAAATCTAATTCCTTTCTCTTGTTAAATCGCATAGTTACTTTTTTTAATACTCACCACCTTATATTAACTATCAGTTAGATTTTGGCTACCCATTGTAGTCTATCAGAAAGTGAATAAGTAATGTCTTGCCACCTGTAGACAGAAAATTAATTAACTTGTTTATGACACAGAAAAGAGTGATCTAAAAAGAGAATTCTGTTTTCCAACTCCTACAACTACCATTTTCAAACTTACTACTTACATATTTACCTAATGTTACTGATGTTGCCATTTCAGATGCCTGTGCCTAAAGCATTTGCTTAAACTTTTATCATTTTGTCATATTATTTGCTTTTTATATATCATTCAAATATAACATCTTATTAAAGTTCTGTGACTTCAAAAAGTTGAAAGAGACCTGTTTAAACCAAATAACTTAGTCATATACTAAACTAACTATTGTATCTAGTTTACCTCTGTAGTGGGGGAAATTACCAATATTTGTTTCCGGGAATGAAAAGCTTCCCCTCCTACAATCTATTATCACTAGTCTTTGGTTTTGTGCCTTCTCTGTAATGATATAGGTTTGTTTCTCCTTTATTCTTTGCAGAGTGCTGCAGCAGCTCCCAGTCCAGTGCTAGGAAACATTCCCCCAGGAGATGGCATGCCAGTAGGTCCTGTGCCACCAGGGTTCTTTCAGGTACTCAGAGAAACTCGGACTAGGAATGGAAGGCATAGGAACTCCTGATTGATTTTATTTAAAGATATGAAGGAGAATGAGGCTATTTTTATTCTTAAGATAAACATAATGCTGTGCAGCTAACCCTTGATTATTCAAGGACATTAGCCCTTCCTTCCTGTATTATTGTCAAAATTTTATTCATTTATTTATTTTGCTATTTCATTGTTCAAGAAGAAAGAAAGGAGTTAAAATGCAAATTAACCCATTAAGTTAACTGTGGTAAAGATTTGGTGGGAGAAGAGTATAAAGATGAGGTTCTGAGATGGATTTTAAATATCTAAGCTATCCATATCTCCAGAGACTAAAGGTAATCAAGATTTCACTGTGCTTTAAAAATATGGCTAAATTGTAACCTATTTACTTATAAGATTATAGGTTATACTAAAATATTAGAGAATCATCTTTGTGGATTTTAAGAGGAAATTTTTATTAATATCATTACATCACATTTTAAAATCAGATTTTAAAATATGTATGTTAGTATTTTAAAATTTCAACAAGACCATTTATTTTAGCAATGATGATAATGATTTTAGAATTACAATTCATCACTTTTTAATTTTATGGCATCTTAAATCTGTCAGTTTTCTAACCCAAACCAACGAAGATTCTGAAGTTTATTTTTTTTTACTACATGGTTAATTTTATAACAACCTTTGAGAAAATTAGGAAGAATTTAGAAGTTTAAAACTGGAGTTGGAAGGCATTACAGAAATTAATGCAATACGCTATAACAACAATAGCTAACACAATAACTGCTTACTATATGTCATGCTTTGTTGTAAATGTTTTACATATATAAATTATTAATCTTTACAATAACCCTCAGTGTGAAATATGTACTATTATCATTCCCATTGCAAAGATGGAAAAGCCATGGCTTGGTAGGTAAGGGGTTAGCACAGAGTCAGAAAGTAACAGGGCTGGGATTCAAATCAAGACTTTCTGAACTTTTGTCATTAAATTTACCTTTTAAAGTTCATAGTTGATCTTTACTTATAAAACATTTCTAGTTCATTTTATTCTCATACTCTTATTCCTGTTGCTAAGATACATTGGGATTAGTGAGGAAGTCAGAAGAGTTTACTTGTAAGAGTTGGTAGAACAAACCTCTTTAAGTGGCACTTTTTAAAAAGGGGCATGGGTTGGAAAGGCAGCCAGATTCTTTCTTGAGTTAGCAAAGTGTTTAAAGCCATACATTTTCATTTTTATATTTTGTAGAATGAACTATTTTCCCATTACCTGTCTTCTGCCTTAATCTTGGTAAGAGTAGTTGAAACAGAGTTAAATTTGTTTTATTTCAATGTGATAAATCAATGAGTACTCCTAGAAGCCAGGCATTGTGGCAGGCATCTAAAAATCAGTATATATAATATGTGTCTTCCTGAATTTCATTGTCTAGCCATTGAGGCATTATTAAAGATAAACAACTGTAATACAGCAAGGTAAGTGCTATAACAGAGTAAAATGTAAAGTTCTATGATGACCTAGAAGAGGGCTATTAAGTCTGCCTGATTTGGAACTAAGAGGGGTTTGGAAATAGTTCCTTAGGGAAACAAGTCAAGGAATGATACTCTAGAAAGTGGGAACAATAAAGCAAAAATGTGAAGGCATCAGACTGACCCTGTTCAGAGGTGTTCAGAGTAATACATACAGAAAGTAGAGGGAGGGAAGGTGGGAATTTCTGGATATGGAGTTGGGAAAATAGCATATTAAGAAGGGCCATGTTAAAACACTAGTCTTCATTCAGTAGGCATGTAAGAGCTGTCAGAGATCTTAAGGAAGGGCAGTGACCTGAATTCAAACTACAGAGTGGATTCAGGCCTTGTTAGGCACCTATGATACAATTGTGTACAATGCCCCTGCCCTTAAAAACTCATGGTGTGGTTAATGAGAGAGCAGAAAGGCAATTAGAATATAGAAAGAAAATGGCTGTATTAAATGAGTAGTGTGTGCTCTTAGAGCAAATCAGAAGGCTGCCAAACCCAGTCTTGGGAGGGGCATTTCAGGGAAATAGTAATTGAAATCCAAATTGGCATCTAAAGATGAGTTTGGCAAAGGAGACGGGGAGAGAGAAAAAGAATATTCCAGGAAGATGAAAAAAATTTCTAAGACCCAGAGTGGACAGCAAAGACCAAATGTAAGACCAAATCTTAATTAGCTAAAGGGACAGTGGCTGGTGATGAATCTCTAGAGGAATCTTGAGGAGCCTTATGGGTTGGGTAAGCATTTATACCTTGATCTTAAGGGCAGTAGTAAGTTTTTGAATGATTTTAAGCTGGAGAGAGGCTTGTTCGTATTTACATTTTTAGAAAAATCACTCCAGTTGCAGTGTGAAGCCAGGCTTGCAGAGGGACAAGCCTGAAGGTAGGGAGACTATTTAGGAGGCTGTTTCAATAATACAGGGGAAATTTAATGATGGCTGTGACTAAGATAATGGTGGTGGGTACAGAGAACGATGAGCAGATTTAAGCGACAAATAAATGCTGGGATTATGAGTAAAAGAATTCAAGGATAATATCCTGGTTTCTGGCTCTCACCTGGATCGATGGAGGTTTCATCATCTGAGACAGGGACCACAAATGAGTAGTAGAATTGAGGTGGAACAGATGAGGTTTCTGTGGGACCTCTAAGAGATAACCCATTAGGCCAGTGAATTTACAGATTTGAAGCCTAAAAAATGTTCTAAGCTAAATATAAAAATTGCAGGATTACATCATATTAAGGGCACTTGAATCCACAGAGGTACCTTAATTGTCCAGGGAGAAAGTACAGAATGAAAGAGGAAGAGGGTATACAACAGAACTCCCCAAACACTAACACTAAGATGAACAACGGACAATAGAATCCATTAAAGAGACTGGGTTCAAGTGCACATATTCGAGACCAGTGGCAGTGGAATTGGAAAGGAAGCTGCAATTCATGTCCTCAGTTAATTAACCCAATTAGAAGTAGAAGAGAAAGAGCTGAAGGAATCAAGAGTGAATCTGAGATTCCTACTTTGGACCTCTGAAAAAATTTAATGTCTCTCTTTTTTTTTTTTATCCTCACTCGAGGACATTTTTCCATTTTTCCATTTTTTGTTCAGATAGAGCGGGAGGGGGAGAGAGAGAGAGAGAAACATCGACGTGAAAGGGACACATCGAGTGGCTGCCACCCACACGACCAACCAGAGCCGGGGACAAACTGCAACCAAGGTACGTGCCCTTAGCGGGAACCGAACCCAGGTCTCTCTGGACCGCAGGCCGACGCTCCAACCGCTGAGCCAAACCGGCCAGGGCTGATGTCTTTATCTGACTTAGGAAAGATAGGAGGTGGAAAAGTTTTAGATATGTTTGAGTTTGATACACATCATTTCTTTATCCAAGGAGACCATTCCAGTTTATCCCAAATACTCTTTACCCCTTGGCTGTAGTATGTCCAGTCTCCCTTGAAATGCCTCTCTGAAATATTGAAAAACTCAAACTATCAAATTTTAAAAAAAGAAATAGGATGTTATTATCTTTTGGTACATATGGGATCAGACTGCTCAAATATTTCTAAATATCAGCATTGACTTCCTATTGTGATTGGGCCATACTTCAGCATGATTCAAACCACTGTGGTTGTGAATGAAGAGTAGCTGCCTTCTGTGAGTAGATATAGCAACAAACAATAATAATTCAAGTTCTAGCACCAGGTCTGAGTCCAGTTTCAAAGAGATACTGAACTCCAAGAGTCATCTAGAGAATGAGAATAGTATGGAATCCCCAGTCTTAGTGAAGACGTGCCCAGATTATTTGGGGACAGCTGGAATGGCACTAGAGCAGGAAAGGACTGAACCTATGAGAATGTAATGAATAAATGAAACTAAAGAAGGAGGAATTTGTAACTTGCATATAAAACCACCAGCTTCAGTAGCTCTGAGCTTGACTCACTATGTGATCATACCATAAAAAGTACATTGAAATAGTTCTAAATAGATAAACATACTCCTTTTATTTCTGTTTGCATTGTCGAACAGGCCCCCTCTTTCCCACTCTGATAGAAGTGTAGACTTAAGTACATTACCAAGTAGAATTATCACAAATTAAATGTGTGATTCCTTGACAACTACATTTGAATAATAGCAATTAACATAAAATCTAAAATGAATAGTTATGATTAACACCTCATACATTTAGCAAGTCCATCCTGGAAGGCAGTATTAAATCAGTGTCTTTCTATTTGTGACAGATTCTCACATTGTTCTTACTTAAACTTCGACATTTTCATTGAAATAGGAGAGCTATTGTTGAGTAGGAAACCAATTACGTAAAGTCAGTGGGAATAGTTGGGCTTGCAAAGGAGATATCAATTTGGTAAAATAAAGCCATTTAAAGCAAGTCACATATATTTATTTACTTGGAGTCTTTCACCAAAAGAATAATCTGTATATAAAACCCTATAAATTCTCAAAGTGACCCACGTGGAACTGGTGAATGATTTTAGAGCAGCTTTCTTAAAGTGGGAAGTCTTGCTACTGGGGTAGCAAACCTGAATGCTCAGAGGCTTCAAACCTGAATGTTCATTGGTCTGTACGTTCACCTGTCAGCTTTAGTGGAGAAAATAGTATTGTGGTGCCAGGCAAATATACATAGTAGACTCAGTGCCCTCCGCCTCTCCTGCCCCTGTGCCAGAGTCTTATTCAGAAGTTTCACTGTGTACTAGGAAATTGGAATTATGTATTAAAAGCATCAACCTGCTACTTATTCATTCTCATAGCATTCTTACTAAAAGATAGGTAAAGTTTGATTCCTATAAATGTGTTGAATAGGCAGCAGTGTTCCTTGAACCAATTAGTTTCTCTTCTCACTTATGTATAATAATCAAAATAGTTTAGTAAAATGCATAAAATAAAAGTTCTCATTCTTTTAAAAAATAAGACTATTAAATCTCTCTATATAGCACCTTACGAGATACTGTGATTTTATGAATTTGAATAAGTAACAAGACAACCTCTCTTGTGAATTTATTATAACTTGTGCCACATTAAAAAAAAAAAAAAAAAAAAAGGACATTTCTTATTTCAACCAAAATAATTGGGGGAAGGGGTGAAAATACTTTATTTTTTCCTCCTTTCTTCTTTTTATTACAAGAAAACTTTTAAGAAGAAAACTATATCTTGTTTTTAATCACTCTAAAAAACATATTTATTCTTTAGGAACACAATATAATCTTTTAACAAATACTGATTTAAATACCTTTGAGTGTAGACCTAATATGGGATATACTTCTAAATATCTAGTTTTGAATTCTGTATAGCTTTTGGTTCATTGTTACCATATTAGGTTTTGTTTTGATTTTCATCTGGATACATTTATTGTATTCTACTCACTGGATCTTTAGTTTTCTTAACTTAAACTCTTGAAAACTAATGGTCTATTGATGTTGGGTTGTAAATTTAAGGCTTCAACATGAATAAAATTTTAAGTACTTGTTGAAGAGAATTGTATACCAAGTAATTTAGTTTCATACCAAAGTGGTCATCCACATTTTTAAATCTGAATTGATCGTAACCCTGATAAGGTAGAAAGTATGTTGCATCAGGTTTGTAAGGCACAGGTTCTTTGCAGGCATGTTATCAATGGTATAGCTGCCTTGCCATCTAGTGGTGGTTTGCAAACGGCTCTATTCAGTCAGGGTACATTTTCCAAAGGTTTTATTTTTAGTAAGACTGCACTGTAGCAAGCTGACCTAACGCTTTGACTTAGTAATAACGCAATAAGAAGAACAAAAAATAGAAATAAATGTCCCCTTTTCTCCATGGTGTTGTTATTGATTAGAAGAAGCTCGATATAAATCACTTTCATAAAGCGATGGAGACAGCAAAGCTTAGGGTAATAAAGAAAAAAATCAAAATGAATCAAAAATGAGAAAAATGGTTATTTCATCTAACACTTGAAACTGAAAAGGAAAAATAAGAAGAAATGTTTTTGCAAGCCCTGGTTAAATGTTTCTCAAGGTCGATTTATTTAACCTATTTCTGGAAATAAGCCCTACAGTTTGATGATACCTTCATAACTAAATATACCTTTCTGCTCTGCTATTCCTAATCAGACTTTCAGAATGCAGTTATTTTTATTATCGGTGGCACCTGTTTGCTCTATTATTTATACATAGAGTAAAATAGTGTACATGCCTTCTCAGTTCCCTTCTGTTGTTGTTAATCTTCACATTGTCTTTAGTTCCAATGGTTTGCTTTTCCTCTTATCCTTCCCGGCCAGGGCTCTTTCAGAAATTAC